GTTTCCACTAGTAGTGTGTGTATCGCTAGTTCGGACAGTCCTGATCCTGAGCTCGAGTTCCTGTCTGAGTAGGTGTCAATTTCTGAGTTTCGGGAGTTGTCATCTTTCGAAGAGGTTGTGATGGAGTCTGCACCCTCCTCCAGATCAGGTCTGTGCCTTCTCCGCATCCATCTGAACTCCCCGGACAAAACTTTGTTCCCCAGGTCCTGTTTCCCATCAGGAACTTTTTCATCTATCTCAGACTCCACGGACAAACTTCCTTGTCCCGGGTGTTGGCCTTGTACTCCTTCGTTCATCTCCCCGGACAAACAATCTTGCTCCAGGTTTCGTTCTACTTTTTCACCTTCTTTATCCTGGTCCACAAAGGTAACGGTTTTCCTTCGCGTATTGCTCCCCTGTTCTTTCCGTCCGTAAGAGGTACTGGTCAAAACCTCGTGTGGTATTGAGGATACTAGTTGCTGAACTATTGTCCTACAATCCCTCTCGTTCTCTTCGTGTTGTCGTCTGGACGGCATGATCTTTACTTTCTCCCTGACTGTTAGTGATGCCACTGCTGCTGTCCACTCGGGGTCATCTCTGGTCACTTCTCTTTCTAACAGTCCACCCAGCATCCGCATCACTTGCGGTGTGACTTGCACCATTTTATCCAATAATGAGAGGCTGTTTATGTTCTTGCGAGAGAGTTCTTGCTGGACCAGGTTTGAGCGCAGCAACAGATCCAAGGGGACCGGGTCACCCTTGGATAGGATTTTTATCTCGGCTGCTTTCTCTACAGGTAACTCAGAATGTCCTGGAATTGGATGTCCGGACTTGTCCAACCAACTCGTTAAGGGAAGCGCTTCATAAGTTTCTTTGTCCAGAAACGAGAATCTTTCCTTTATTTCTGCCTGATTGGCTTGTTTCTGTTCCAATCATTCATATAACTCAGTTTTCGCTGAGGCTGTCAGCATTCTGGTGTTTATCACGCATCCTGTGCTCGATTATCATGTGGTAGCCATCCAATCTTACTATCCACCTACCAATATAACTCTGATCCATCGAGTAGGTCTTCAACCAGGATAACGCTCTGTTGTCTACGCGTAACTTGAAGGGAGCGCTCCCCAAGTATGCGCGGTATTTTTCTACAAATGTGAGAACTACAAACCATTTCTGCTTTTGGTGCACCATATTTCATCTCAGTGTCACTCAAGACCTTGCTGCCGTATGCAATGGGACGGAGAACCGTTCTGCCATTCCATTCTTGCTCCTTATGCAATATTCCTGAGATGGCTACTACCGATGCGTCTGTGTCAAGAACATACATGCCCTTTTCTGTAGGCATGCCTAGCACTGGCGCTTCGCACAACTCCCGCTTTATGTGCTCGAAGGCAACTTGTGCTTCATCGTTCCATTCGAACTTTTTCCCTTTGTTGCGCATCAGCTTCTGCATCGGATACACCTTGTCCGTATATCCTTTTATGAACTCACGGTAGTAGTTGGCAAACCTTAGGAAGCTCAGGAGCTGTGTGTCCGTTCTGGGAGCCTTCCATGTCAACACTGCTTCTACTGCTTCTGGGTCCGGCCTCACACCATGCCTGTCCACCATTCTTCCCAGGTACTTGATTGAATCCCTAAGGATTTCACATTTGGATGGTTTGCACTTCAAGCCTGCTCTCTTCATGCATCCAAAGACCTCATCGAGCCGATCAATGTGGTCTTCCAGGGTCGGTGACCGTACTTCTTGGTCACTCTGGTGAAAGCCTGAGCCATCAGTCTTTGAAAAGTGGCCGTTGCGTTGCACAAGCCGAAGGGCATCCTCTTCCACTGGTTCAACCCCAACTCACACGCGAATCCGGTCTTTTCCCTATCCTTCTTTCGCAGCGGGACCTGCCATAAGGCAGAACCCAAGTCCAATGTAGTGAAGAACTTGGCATCACCAAGTTTAGAGAGGCTCTCGTCTATTCGCGGTATCGGGTACGCATCTTTTATCGTTACCGCGTTCAAGTAACGAAAGTCGCAACAAAACCTAAGCTGTCCCCTTTTCTTTTTCGCCATTACTACCCCGCAAGCCCATGGCAATTTTGAGGGTTCTATCATGTCGTATTCGAGCAACATTTCAATTTCCGCTCGGCACGCTTCCAACTTATGTGGCGTCATTCGTCTTGCGCCTTCCCTTCCTCAAGCTCGATTTCGTGCTCGACGAAATTACAGCAACCGATATCCGCCTTATGTCTTGAAAATACATCTGCGTTCCGATTTAAGACGTCCCGCAATTTTTTGAAATCTCCCTCATCTATTTTCCCTTTTAAATGTTCTATCTCTGGCAAAACCGGTTTGTCAGATTCTAGTTTATATGACGAGGGGCGTTCCGGAAAATTCGAGCAGCTCGATAAGCCGTCGTCCGTTTCGGATTTCATTGAAAACAATTTATGAATAGATTTTAATTCATTAATCCTCTTTAAAATTTTATCTTTTTTGGCATGATAAGGACAGTCTTTCACACTATGTTTCTTCAAGTTTTCTGTCTCCTCATGGTCGGTCCTCATCGGCAAAGCGTAACCAAGCTTCTTTCCACGCTGGATTGAAATTGTGGTGTCCAGTGTGTTCAATAACACACTGACACACAGTCCGTTTCGCGTTACCGAGAAATTCCGGCCTAAAATCACTGAGCTTTGACTATTTGGATTCGGTACCAAACAAACCTGTTTACTATCACTTAACGAATTTAAATTTCTCATTCTAAAAATTGCTACCACAGCCTGCCCTGCCTGTAGTTTTACTTTTCTGTCTAAGAAAATTGGTACCTTGTTCTCGTCTGTTATTATCCTATTAATTGGTTTCTTAACATACTTCCGGTCCGGGTTTCTAATCCGTATTAGACCGTTGTTCAAGTCGACCATCACGTCAAAATTCCTGAGGAAATCTCTGCCCAAGATGAATTGGTCGGCGTCGTCCAAATTCTCTACCACCAGGAAGCTCATCAAAAGATCCCTTCCTCCCATGTGGAGAACCGTTATTGGTGTTCTTCCGGCTACGTAAATCGCTCCTCGATTGGCGGCGGCCAGTCGGATATTCGTTGGAATTAGCTCTTCCCTGTGAAGCCCATTCTTTCCCAAGTTTTTATCGGCATCACACTCACTACCGCTTCTGTGTCCAGAAACCCTGTGACTCCGATTTTCTTTCAGTTGGTGTCGAGCAGATGTGCGGTCACATCTGCTTCATACCCAATGTGTACTGCATCTTCTTCCATCATGGCGTCATGGCCTATCCTGCCGACTTTGAGTTCCTCCTCTCCCAAATAGATCGGCCCTATTTGGTCACTATCTGTTGTTACATAAGTCCTAGTGTAGATACTGATTCCATCCACGTTCAGCATCACTTGATACGGCCCATAGACTTCCACGTAGCGTCCATGAAGTTTCTTTATGCGAGGGCCACCCGTTGTTAGTAGTGCTCGCACAGCTCTCGACTCAGTGCGTGACTCCACCTGCCTCAGATAATCTGCATCTGTGTCCAAATGCATCAAAGTGAACTCGGATGGTTCACTCAGATTTCTAATTACCTGGTGTCCAGCCACCGAGATTATCGACTGTATCTTGCTTCCTTGCGGTACCATGCCAAACCTCTGACCGGAGATCACATTAAGTTTCATGCTCAAACTGCTTGGTGCTTTAGACTCTTCGACCTCCGTTGCTTCGAAGGTATTCAGTTGCTCCTGTAGTTTCTCATTTTCCAGTTCGATTTTCACTTTCTGTTCGATCTCTTTTGTCACCATTCCTGCTGCACTCTATTTTGAGCATCCCTCGCGGCTGCCCTATAATCAATCTTGAAGTCATCGGCCGCAGTCACTGGTTCCGGTTCACATGTTTCTTCAGTTACCGCTTGCATTTTGTTCGTCGCCAGCTCTTGCGGTTTGTCTTTTTTGCGCGCCTCCGCTTCAATCAACGGGCGAGCCTTGCTGGCTTTCACTCCTGATAAAATTTCCTCATGCCTTGGATGCTTGATGTCTGCCACTGCATCCCAGAATTGTGGACAATCTGATTTGAAATGACCTTCCAAGTTGCAAAAGAAACACCTCGGGCCGAATTTCGCAATTACTCCTCTCATGAAATCCTCATGGTCAACTTCTGACGCATCTTCGTCCTCGAGGCCAAAGCCTATTGCTTTCATGCCTTGTTTGTAAGTTGGGCATGCTGACACATGATGGTCCGTTGAACTGCAATTGGCACAAGAGCGTCTCTTGTCCATATCATCCCTCGGTTTGTACCAGTTGTTCCCTTGGTTTGCTGGTCCGTTGTTAAAATTGCCATAATTGTTCTTATAATATCCAGATCTCGAAGGAGGTTTCAACAAAATATATTCTTTTGACTTGAGTCTCAACTCCTCTGGTGTTGGCGCATTGGTTGATAGTGGTGTGTAATGCGTTGCTAGCATTGTTCGAAGCTCATCATTCTTCACACCATCGATGAATTTCGAGGCTACTGCCAGGTTTGTGCAATGTCTTAAGATTGAGCGTTAAAATTGTTTTAATTGAACAAAAAAGCACATGAAAATAGTTTTTTTGAAGTTTCAGTTGTACAATAAACTAGCAAAAACAAGCCACTGTAGAACGTTGAAAACTTTAATTTTAAAGTTACTAATGTTAAAGAGTTAAAACTTACTCTACAAAAGCTCAATTTTGACTAATTGTAATGAAAACAAGTTTACATGGCGAGATCTGTTTTTGCTGGTATTGAGAGTTAGTGATAAAATAATGAGCTTTTCTACGCTAACTTTGTCACGTTATCATAAAATGAGCAAAATTAAAAAGTTTAACTTTCAAATTGAAATGTAAAAGAGTTTAAAATGACGGCACAGAAGCTTAGTTTTGTTCGACAAAAATAAAAAACTGTTTTTATACATGAAAAGATATTCTTACTAATATTGATAACAATTTTCTTCAATTCTCGAGTTATACTATGCTTGAGAAAAATACACACGTGTCGTAAAGTTGTGCTGATTTTTAAGCGTTGGACGTAAGTTATTTTTATGCACGCTCTTCATTAAAAAGATTCATCGAGAGGTTAAACGTTATTATGTTCTAGAAACAAAAACCACGAATTTCTCAAAATCCTTTAAATCGTACTTACGCAAAAAAACTACAGGTCTCGTGTTAATTTTTGGCATTTAAACCCAACATTTCTAAAGATCCACCCAGTTTAGCTCGTCTGAATTGTTGAATTCAAACATTTGTCTTTTTTTAAATTTCCGATTTAGAATTTTCCAACTTTGATTTAATACAATTTGAATTGCATCCTTTCTATTTGAAGCATTCTTTGGAATCTGATCGCCTTCGATCTCTACCTCTGCGCAATATCCCAGGTGAAAACTGGTTATTTGATTGAGTATTGTTTGCTTAGTAAAACTAGAACTATCGAACAAATGGGGCATGCCACCATGTAATATCACAAAATTTGTGCTTTTGAATCTTATATTTTTTCAACTAATTTCGTTCAGTGAATTTTAACTTTCCCCTCAAAAAAAGAAAAAATTTTTGACCAACAATTTTCATTTTTCATACAATTAACAGCACCTGCAATGGGTTTAATTTTGCTGGCAAGATAAAAACGATCAAATTTCTTGACTGTAGCAGCTCATGGAAAAGCCAATTAGGAAAGGAAGGTTACGACGTTTTCAGAAATCTTCACAAAAAATCATAATTTTGTTTCGAATATAAGTTTTTAGGGAATGATGTCCGTTTAGACATCGCGAAAATTGACTAGGCAGCAACAAATAGACCTCATAAAGTAAGCACGTCTTTAGTCGAAAGTTACTATATTAACCAGTCAGAATTGATAGAACGAAAGAAAAACATGCAAAACAAATAAATTTCTCGAATTTCGGCGTACTTTTGTTCTGGATTCTGATTGGCTAATAATTGAATTTGTCTTTTTCTCGACTAGTATGAAATAAAGCTTGTCTACCGTTTGACCGCACTCAGCATTAAACAATTAGAACAACACTTTTTGCGTTGTTTCACAGGTTCTTCATTAGGAGTCTCGGAAGAATCTGAGTAAATATTATTTACTCGAAAATCATGGCTTCTTCATCTAGAAGCGAAGGGATCAATCAGGGCCATGATGCGCAACTGGAATGTCCTGGTTGTGCCAATAAGTTGAAAGGCAACGTGCCTGAGCTTCCTTGCGGACACTGCATTTGCCTCCCATGTACCGCTGCTCTGGAAACGCAAACAATCCAGAAGTGTCCTGTTGCAAAATGCCGCAGCAGTCGAACTAAGTTCACAGAACGAATTGTAGTGGATAACTTACCCACAAGACCTGCGGCTGCGGTTGACGACAGTTTCATGATGCCACCTCCACCCTACGCAGGTATGATGTGTTCTTTATTGTTTTTGACTGTAAAACAGCAAAATGATTGTCTCTTAGGTAGGTCGAGATGATTTTTTTCTCATCTTCTGAGACAAGTTATCCGTTATCGAACGGCAAAAGTATAATAGTAGCAAAAACGTGAATGATTTCTTTTTTTTTTCAAAATTGATGGATTCCCATGCAAAAGCGCAAAAAAACGCATTGATCTTGTTTCCAGTATATGTGATAACTTCAACAAAAATTTCGATCATTAACAGCTGTCAATTTTTTCCATTTATTTTTTCCAATTTTCTTTTTCACTGTTCTAACTATCTATCGACTTTGTCAATCTATTATCTATCTATTATATATTTGAATGCGGGCTTCACTATCTCACCATGTTTAAACGTTTTCAACGTAAGATTTTTGCATGTTTAACGAAAACTTTTTTCACGTTTAAGCTATATCGTATATTACAATGGTTAAAATATTATCGATTTTTTAGTTCGAATTCAGTGATTATTCCACCGAGTTTAAAATAAGCAGCCCAATAGTGGGATGCTGTCAGAATTCCCCAAAAGGTTGCGAATTTCGTCTCCAATTATGAATGCTCAAATCCTTTTAGTGTAAGAGATACAACAATTTTAGCGATTTTTTTCAAAAATTTTCAGAAAATCAAATTACAAAAAAGTTACCGAGATAAAATAGTTTTCGAGATATTACGTTTTCTGAGATTTTTTCAAAAAAATTTCAAAAAAAAATAAATATTTTTTTTTCTTCAAAATTTGAAATTCCCATTACTGTAGTTGGGGGCTATCAGAGTACTCTCAGCTATTGCCTCCAAGTATGACTGCTCAAATCCTTGTAGTTTTCGAGATATGACGTTTTTTGTGATTTTTTCAATTTTTTTTAGAAAACTCGAACGATTTTTTTTCTTCAAAATTTGAAATTCACAACCCTGTAGTTGGGGACTATCAGAGTACTCTCTAGGGTTGCGAACATTGCTGCAAGTATGACTGCTCAAATACTTGCAGGTTTCGAGTCATTACGTTTTCTATGATTTCAAAAAATTTTCAAAAATATAATTAATTTTTTCTTAAAAATTTTAAAATCTTTTACCCTGTTGTTGGGTGCTGTCAGGGTACTCTCATAGGTTGCGAATCTTGCCTCCTAGTCCAAATCCTTGTAGTTTTCGAGATGACGTTTTTTGTAGTTTTCAAAAAAATTCAAAAAAATTAAATTAATTTTTTTTTCAACCCACCCTGTAGTTGTGTAGTTGGGGCTATCAGAGTACTCTCAGGGATGGAAACCATACTTCTCTTTATGAGTGCTCAATACCTTGTAGTTTTCGAGATATTATGTTTATGAGTTTTTAAAAAATTTTCAAAAAAAAATTTTTTTTTTTTCAAAATTTAAAATTCCTTTCCCTGTAGTTGGGTGCTATCAGGGTACTCCCAGGAGTTGTAAATATTGACTCCAAATTTGACTGCTTAGATATTCGTAGTTTTCGAGAGTTGACAGAAAATTGAAATTTAAAAAAGTCCATAAATTTTGAAATTACCAACCCTGTAATTGGGTGCTGTCAGAGTACACTAAAAGCCTGCAGATCTGGTTTCCAATATATGCGGTTTTTCATGATATGTCAAAAATTCAAAGCACCGGAGGTGCGTAACATGTTAGTTATATTTTTAAATGCGAGCTTCATTATCTCGCCATGTTTAAGCCTTTTCAACGTATTATTTTTGCATGTTTAACGAAAAAATTTTTTCACGTGTAAGCTATATCGTACATTGCAATGGTAAAACAGCTTTTTCGATTTTCCAGTTTGATGTCGAGGATTACTTCATCAGTTTTGATATGAGCAAATTTGAGAAAAGTTTCGCAACATTGGATATTCTCAACCCTGTAGTTGGGTTGTGTCAGGGTACTCTCAGGGATTGCGAATCTTGTCTCCAAACCTCACTTCTCAAATCCTTGTAGTTTCCGAGATATGACGTTTTTTATGATTTTTTTTTTCAAAAACGTTCAAAACTTAGATTTAAAAATATTCAAAAAATTAGAAGATCTCTATCGTGTAGTTGGAAATCCTGAGGGTACCCCTAGTGGTGCAAATCTTGCCTCTGAATATGACTGCTCAAATCCTTATAGTTCTCGAGATATGATGTTTTTCATGATTTTTTTCAAAAATTTTCAAAAAACTTAGATTTAAAAATATTCAAAAAATTAAAATATCTGTGTCGTGTAGTTGGAAATTCTGAGGGTACACTTAGGGGTTGCAAATCTTGCCTCTGAGTATGACTGCTCACATCCTTACAGTTTTCGAGATCTGACGTTTTTTATGATTTTTGTTCAAAAATTTTCAAAAAATTATATTTTAAAGTTTTCAAAAATTTTCAAGTATGTATCGTGTAGTTGGAAACTCTGAGGGTACCGTCAGGGGTTGCGAATCTTACCTTTGAATATGACTGCTCAAATCCTTATAGTTTTCGAGAATTGACGTTTCTTTTTTGATTTTTCAAAAAATTTTCAAAATTTGAAATGTCCGTTTTTGTAGTAGAGGCTGTCAGAGTACTCGCAGGATCTCAAGGGTTACAAATTTTGCCTCGAAATATGACTGCTCAAACCTTTTGTGTTTTTGAGACATCACTTTTTTAATGATTTTTTTTCTTCAAAAAGTTTCTCAATTTGAAATCCCACCGCTGTAGTTGGGTACTGTTAGAGTACTATCAGGAGTTGCAGGTTTTGCATTCCATTGTGACTGCGCATTTACTTTAAATTTCCGAGTTATGGCGTTTTTTAATGTTAATTTAAAATTTTTCAGTGAACTTCAAAGAATTTTATGGTTTTTCAAAGTTAAGAAAAAAATAAACTTTTTTTTTTTTACAAAATTTGAAATTACCAGTCCTTTAATTAAGTGCTGTCAGAGTACACTCAAAGGATACAGACATTATTTCCAATAACTGCGGTTTTAATAATTTGTTAAAAACTCGAAGCACCGCAGGTGCGTTACACGCTAGTTGATTTTTATAGTTTTTATCGCTTAAAATAGTTTAATATAGATCAAACACGGTAAAACAAAATTTTATTAGAAATATACTGGAAATTTTTTTGTCTTAAACAGTTTAAGTGTTTTCTTTTAGGGCATCAATTTTGGGTAGAAAAAATTTAATCAGTTGGAACAGAGCCCGGTAGAACATAGTTTCACTAGAAATATACAGCAAACTTTTTTGGACTTGCAGTGTGCTCTTTTTGGGACATCATTTTTGGGTAGAAAAGAACATCAAATTGATTGTTAAATCTTTGAAAATAAGTGCTAATTGGCAAGCTTACTTCATTATTTGATCTTATGAAATCAAGTTAGAGAAGGAACAAGCAGACTGCTAAATTAAATAACCAAGGTGAAACAAGATAAGCTATGGATTTCATTTGAAACTACCAATGAGTTTTTAAAAGTTGTAATTAATTAATTCTTTTCTTATTACAAATGTTGTTGTTCTGGTTCCAGGCCATGGTAATTGTGCTTGTGTTGTTTTTCTTTCTATAGAAAAATCGGCTTTTTAGCTTACCATTTTTGATGGTTTTTTTTTGGTTAAAGGATTTGTATAGGATGATTTTTTTCAATGTCGAGCAATGTTCAAGCGAGGTTAAAAAGCCGTTGGATTTAAGTTTTCTTTCTAGTTTGTTTGCTGAATCTTTACGGTAGATAATTTTTAGCACGCAACATACAATGTTTTATAATGTTTTTTTTATTATTATTATGAGAGAAGGGCATAGAAATGATAATTAAATTGTTACTATTATGTTTAGTCCCTAAACACTGGATAAACGCGACCTTAAAAGTTCGGTTTGTTTGAACCAGTAGTTTATTTCGAGTCGTTCAAAATATAGTACGCATGTGTCGAACACAATTGAAGACAGTTTTCTCTCGGCCGAGCTGGTGAAAATATAACCAGTTTGGGCCGAGTTGGACATAGCACGCTTAGATCAATCAGTCGAAATTATTTTTCATTTTCTTTTCTCGACTCGGTAGTCAAAACATGGCCAATTTGAGTCGTGCTAGTTGCCGAAACATAGCACGTTTGTTTCGAACACAGCTTAAAAACAACATTTCTTTGGTTGAGTGGTGACAGCATAGCCAGTTTGGTTAGATCCGGGCGAAAAATAGCACGCTTTGATCGAACACAGTTGAATCTATTTTTCCTTCGATCGAGCTGGTAAAAACAAAATTTTTGGTCAAGATGTTCGAATCAAAGATATCGAGTCGGTCGAAGCATATATCGACTACCCGAACCCCGGCGATGTTCACTGTTACTGTAATCAATTTGATATTTTTTTATTATTACGATTTGTATACTTAAATCCGATTCTGTGGTTCATTTTCCCGGCTTTCAAACAAGTGACAGAATTTTTCTGCTCAATTTCTATTTCTCTCCAGACAAATATCGATTTTCTTAGATAGCAATTTTTGACGGGATTTTTGATATTGCCTGAATGCCATCGATGTTTTGAGCTTAAAATAAAACAGATTTGATCTTTGATAAGTTTTCCCAAAATTGTGAGGGTTTAAAAATTACCTTTTTGGTCAGTTTGGAAAGATTTTTGCACAATGTTTTAAGCATTGAGGAAAGTGGATCCGGAATCATCGTCCCTATTAGTCTAAAACTATGATTGATGGTATTTTTTTGTTCCGAGCACGAAGTCTGTGGAAACTTAGTTTTTGGGCGTTTTTATGCACAAATCATGTTTGTTGAAAAAAATTCATAGAGGGTCAAGATGTGTATCGGATTAAACATTTTCGGGCCTTAATAGGCGAGTTCCCACGACGCTATATAAACCCATTGAGAGGGGGCAGGGGCCCCCTCGGAATATTTGACTTTGGCCAGTTTATTGTTCCTACTTTAAAAAAAATAGTCGGTTGCTCGAAAACTCCCCGCTAAAATTCCCAAATTTTTTGAATGAGACCCTAGACCCTGGAAATAATGGAAGTTTGTTAATGTCACTTTTTGATAGTTTTGTTAAGATGGGTTTTGCCATTTTTGGGCCTTTTCCCAGCTACCCAAAAAAGTGATTTTTTCAATTATCTCTAATTCAGTAACTTTTTCGGCGTTGGTCAAGAAGAACTTTCTAATAGTGCCTTAGACGTGTTGTATGATGCTTTAAACTGTTTGGCATAATTTTTTTTCGCTTTCGCAAAAATTAAAAATTTCACTTTTCCAGACGGTCATCTAAGGTTCGAAAAAATGAAAAATTGTGGAAATTGAAAATTAATGAAAATCAAAAACGAGTTTCCCGTTGGGTAATATGAAGGTCCAGTTTGTTTTTTAGAAGTTTTTTTGTTGTAGAATTTTCTTATTTGGTCGTTAAACCGAAATTTGTAGTAAAAAACAGAATTTTTAATTCAGATCTGTCCTACATTAGCTTAGTTTACGTCATATATAGTCCGATAGAAAGTTTGAATTACTAGCATTCATTGTAAGCTGCCGCAAAGTTTCATGATTTGGTGTGAAAGATAATGAAATTGCTGAAACTAATACGAAAAAAAACCTGAAAAAAAGTCAAAAACGAATTTTTTAAAAAAAACTTTCTATTGCAAATCTTGTAGGATGCTCTGTGGGCCCCTTAGGGCCCAGTAGAAGAGCATCCGACTCGGAATTATCCAAAGAACGGAAATTAAAAATCGTTTTGGGTTTTCTAAGCCATCATGTCCAGTTTGTCTAAGCCATCATGTCCAAAAATATGTATAACTTTCGGATAAATCATACATTTGAACTTGACAATTTTGGGAAACTTTTTGATCCTTCTCGAAAAGTACCTGCCAATTCTGAGATCAACAGTACAATCAAATTATCAGGTTATAAGCTTCTTTCGGCTTAATCTAGCACGATTTCGTTTCTTTAGAAAAAGTCATAGCCTCGAGAAATGTGAAATTTGTATATTTTTGTGACCGATTACACCGTTTTTTCTAAAAAGACCGTATGTATGGCCTTATTAAAATCCATTTTTCAAATTTTTATCGTTTTTCCGAAATTTTTCCATTTCTCTTGAAAACTACCCTGCCAAATTTGACATTGAGTGCAGTTGAAAGACCGAGCAAAAGTCTTCCCTACATGAATCCGTTAATTTATTAGCAAAGCCACTAGTGTTTTGGTGAAAGACCAATTTCTGAAACTTTCAAAATTACGACTGCCATCCCGCATCAGTACAACATATTCTAAAAATATCAAAAATGTATCACTAGCTTTAGTTGGGCCCCTAGTTTTTAACAGATGATTGTTGACAGTGGTGTTTTCTTATCATTCAACTGATTTTACTCATAAGCATTAGTAAAAAGTTTCATATATGACTGCAGTTTTTCTGAAATCATTGCAAGAATTATATGGTCTAAGTTTTTGCTTCAAGTAAGTTTTAATGTTTCATGAAATTAAAACACATAGATTCTGGCTATTTTTGGGTCAAATGTGGAATTTTTTTAAATCCAAGAAATAAGGATCTTGTAATTTGACAAATTTTGAAAGTCTTCAAGTGTGCCTTTATCCTTCCCTAGAATTCAAAACTAAAACTTGCTGTTTTTGTTTTTTAACCCATGTTCACGTGAATTGTAAGCCTGGTTCGCCAGAAAATTTTTTGAAAAGAAATTTATTGTCGTTAGATTTTCGTGGATTAAATTTTTTGATAAGCATTTTTCCATTATGTATATGAATAGAGCTGTTAAACGAAGGTAAGGTAGTCAATTCGCGTTGATCTACTTTTTCAGAAAATAAACGGCTGTGTTTCAGAGCGACCCAAGACAGCTTCAGTAAGCTATTGCGACTTACACCCATCTGAATCCATTAGATTCTACTGCAACGAGTGCTCGGAGGCTATCTGTGCTCTGTGTTGGGATGAAAAACACAGTGACTGGAAAAAACACAATATCAGCACAATGTCAATATACATGAGACCCCAGAAGGAAGTTGAAGCACGCATTGCAGCTTACAGGTTAGAATGTGTGAATATGACTGGAGTTCTACAGGAATGGCAGCCTTGCATTGACCAGATTCAATCAGCAGAGCGAGCACAGAAAGCTGTTCTGAAATGTAAATCGGCGCGAGATATAGAGCAAAAGTCCCGCGATGTCAGAAATCACCTGTTGGCACAAATGGCAAATGTCCAAAATTATAAACGGAAAATTTTATCGCAATTTTCTGAAATCGAGGCTACTTATGAGCGAATTTTCGGAGACGAGGTTGTGGACTCCAAGTCTGATGGTTCACCAAATCAGTTGAACCAGGGCGCCAATACTTCAAGAGGAACATCTGGCCCTAGAATGACTGACAATATTACTAGTTCTCCTGGAGGAAGCTCTGTAACTGGGAGAAGTGACGGTGTTAGTGCTGGAAAAAAATTGGTAATTGAAGATAAGAAAAGGAAAAGGTTGACTGGTGTGAAGGAGACTTGGATAGGCGATAAGATTGTTAGGTGTGATAAGGCGGTTTTTAATGCGGAGTCTAGAGAATTGATGTGCTTTAATTTTTTAAACACAATAACGGTACTGAGACTGAACGATAAAAATGAAAAGTTGGAAGTAAAGAGGACAATGGAGTGGAATGAGTTGAGAGAAAAGGAAAACTGGCTGTGGGATATAACTGTAAACGATGGAAGTATTATGTACGGAGTGATTAGAGAGGACGGTGGAACTTACTTTAAAAAAGTTGAGGAATTGGATCAATTCAGTTTTAAAAAGAAATCAGAGCTAGATACTCAAGGAGTGCTTAATGGCAGTGGTGTGATCTGGTATTTGTCCTCCTTTCATGACACGTTGGCTCTGTCTGTATTTGATAACAGGAATAAAGATGATCGGAAGTGGCGCAGCGTAACCGTTTACAAAAACAAGAAGAGAATGGAAACTGTTTCGCTTGAAATAAGCGTACATGAAGGGATTTATTGGAATGGTTTTACATTGGTTAATGAGAACACGCTCCTATTGAGTTGTGGTTTGAACAAAAAAATAGCAGTAGTCACACTGCCATCACAGTCACATTGTCATTCAATAGCGGCCTCAACATCATCATCTTTATCTTCAAGTACCACCCTGAAACCTCAATCAATCAAGTATGTATTTGCTGCTTGTGTGACGAGGATTTACTCTCTGCTTTGGATGCCAATTGATTCTCAACTTGAGGGATATATATGCGTGGGAGAGAGCGAGGGTGCATCACTCTCCCGGATGTATAAAATAAACCTTGGAACAGATTTGGCAAAAGTAGACGAGGGAAAGGAAACAAAGCTGGAAGAGGTCGAAAATGTATCCCCGTTGGAGAAGACGACTGTTATATGCCCAGTTGACGATTACACAGTTTTTGCAACTCGTGGAGAAAAATGGTTTGAAGGTCAACCAGTTGTTTTGAAATTCGATTTTCAGCCCATCTAACGGCATTTTCGATGGAAGTTTTATTCACTGGCATCCTCAATTTGTGCTTTTATGTTTTTAAATTACATTTCATATGTCTTTGATTTTGTAGACATTAGGCTATTATTTACAACAGCAGTTTCTTATAGTAATCTGCTGTTCTTCTGTAGTTGTTTGCTATTAACTTTCAATCAAACTTTATATCTAAATTGGTCGTGTTGCAAAATTACACTGCAGAAAACGGAAGTTTACTGAAAAAATCTTCAATGAACTGAACGTTTATATCAATGCACTATGATCAACATCCTTGACAAATGTACAAACCTTCATACAGATGTTCATAGAGTTACACCAATTTTGATACTGCATTTTTTATAGCTAACCATCAACTCAGCAATAGAGATGTAACACTGATTCAAATTCATTGACATTGGCAAGGTCAGGTCAAGAAGCATTTGGTTTCCCAGGGAAAGGGTTTTTATTTTGCAAAATCAGTAAACCTCAGAAATGTCAACCTGGCTTTTCTCAAAAAAAGTTAAAACTAATTGATCACTAAGGAAGCAAATTAACTGCTGTTTTGAAACAGTACCCGTACCTAGCAAACTTTCTATTTCAGATCTGGAATAAACTTTTTCAGTTCTAAATTCCAGATCTGAAATGGGCTGTGAAATAATTAAATAACGCTTGGATACTTTGAGGAGGGTCTGATTTCAGTTCTGAATTTTTGTTTTTCTTCGTTATTTCAGATCTGAAAAAAATCTGTTTCATATCTTTTTTCAGATATAAAATTTAATCTTTCTTGGTTATTTTAGATCTGCTAAACCAATGATTTTGGCTCAGTTTTGCTATTTTTGATACTTTTGGATCGGACAGCTTCTGCTAGCTACTAGCAAGTAGTCAGGAAAATCTCCAATGCGAGACTGCCAAAATATATTTCTCCACGATTGAGATAAACATTGGAAATGCATAAATAGCGCATGATAAATAAAAAATTTGATTTGTTGTAACAGTTTTTGAAAACATTTTTTTACAGTTGAACGAAAAATTTAGTTCGAAAAAAACAGTTTTCGAAATTGTTCGGAATTTTTTTTACCGCTAGTTAATCTAAAAAACTCAAGTAAAAAATAAAACATTAAAGCTCGAAGTGCAAAAATTATAATTTAAAAAAAGTTTCTCAGATCTAATTTCAGATCTGAAATTTTGTTTTTGAAGGTTATTTCAGTTCTAAAATATCTATTTCAGATCATTATTTCGGATCTGATTTCAAATTTTTGATCAGATATGAAATAAAGAATTTCAGAACTTAGAAACAATACATGTAAGAAATTAAAACTTTCAGATACTCCACAGAAAAGGTAAAGGTAACCAGAAATGCCGGTAAACTAAGAATAAAAAGCTTGTGAAGTAAACTGTTTTCTTGTCATACACGATGACGTTAAAAACGTAGGAGCTATGGAAAGATTGTGCAAGCCCGGACACAATAAGGGAAAAGATTCAAAGTTTTGCTGTTTCTCTAATTTTTTTGCTATCATCTGGCGGTTTTCGTTTCGGCCAATGAGAACACGCTTCTTTTGAATTACGATTTACTTGGCATTAACAAATTTGTAGATGTGTTTTTGCCTGAAACTTTACAACAAAATCAAAAAGAAAGATTTCACCTCTATATGCCACGCAAGTCCTTATCGCAATTAGTAAACAGGGTCAAAAAGAAAGATTTCATATCTACATGCCGGGCATAATCTTGTCACCATAATTAAAAATAATCATAATTATTGGCAAAAAATTGATAAAATGAGAAAAAAAATTCATAAATAAAATTAATACCGCCTGGAAGCACACGACTGGATGGACAGCAGTCTTTGCTTTGTTCTTATATCTATTTACCAAAACACCTCACGGAAAAAAAAGTTTCTCGAAATTTCATTGCTTAAGTTTTCTCTATCGAAAAATTACGCCGCGAAACTTTGTACTTTTTTTTAATATAACAAAATTTTTGATCCAATATCAAATCAAAGCAACAAGTGTTTCTTGCATTCAGCAACATGATTGTTTTTTTTTCAATCGACAAATATTTGATAATCTTATGTTGTTTTTTGGAAGCATATTGTTGTTGTTTTTCCTTTTTTTAAGAGTGAACTAATTATGAATTTTTAAAAGGTCAGTTTTGTACAAAGTTATGACATTTCAAGTTTGATGCAGTTTTCTCTGTCGTAGTATCTATTGAGATATACCAGCATATAAAATTGTTCATTAGTTTTCAAAATTAGCTGTTGTAACGTTGCGTTAAGTATAATCAAAAACTATCATGCCAATTGAAAATTTTCTGGAAGCAGATTTTGCTCTAGTTTTACATGACTGATATAATACCGGACGCACTACACATTGAGCCTCAACCATTACTTTTTGAAAGTAAGATATCAATGTGTAAAACGTTTTCCCGGGGTCTAAAAAATTTTCTCTCGGTTATGACTAGTTGGTTGTGAATTTTTTTCCTAATGTGTCACCTGCCAAAAATATTGCATCAAATGCTCCCATTTCGTTTCAAAAGTCAAACGTTTTTACCATAACAAAATAAGCTAACCTTTTTTAATTATCTAGCAAAGTCAATAAGAAAGGTTTCACCTCTATATGCCGCGCAAGTCCTTGTCGTAATTAGTAAACAAAACCAAAAAGAAAATTTCATCTCTATATGGCGGGCATATTCTTGTCGCCATAATTAAAAATAATCATAATAAAATGGCAAAAAAGTGTATAAAATGAGAAAAAATTTAAATTTAATACCGCCTGGAAGCACACGACTGGAATGACAGCACTCTTAGCTTTAGTCGTAGTATATCAATTTAGCAACAAAACAGCTCACGTAAAAAAGGTTGCCCAATTTTTCGTTGCTTAAATCTTTTCTATCGAAAATTTACGCCGCGAAACTTGGTACTTTTTTTTAATGTAACAAAATTTTTGATCCAATATCAAATCAAAGCAACAAAAGGGTTTCCTGCAGTCAGCAACTTGATTGTTTATTTTCAGTTGACAAACACTTGATGATTTTATGTTTTTTTGAAGCATGTTGTTGTTTTTCCTTTTTTAAATTGTGAACTAGTTATGAATTTTTAAAAGGTCAGTTGTGTACAAAGTTATGACATTTCAAATTTGATGCAGTTTTCCCTGTCGTAGTATCTATTGAGATATACCAGCATATAAAATTGTTCATGAGTAGTCAAAATTAGCTGTTATAACGTTGCTTTAAGTATCATCAAAAACTATCAAGCCAATTGAAAATTTTGTGGAAGCAGATTTTGCTCTAGTTTTACATTACTAATATAATACCGGACGCACTACACATTGAGTCTTAACCATTACTTTTTGAAAGTAAGATATCAATGTGGAAAACGTTTTCCCGGTGTCTGAAAAATTTTCTCTCGGTTATGACTGGTTGGTTGCGAATTTTTTTCCTAACGTGTCACCTGCCAAAAATATTGCATCAAATGCTCCCATATCGTTTCAAAAGTCAAAAGTTTTTACCGTAACAAAATAAGCTAACCTTTTTTTAATTATCTAGCAAAGTCAATAAGACAGGTTTCACCTCTATGTGCCGCGCAAGTCCTTGTCGTAATTAGTAAACAAAGTCCAAAAGAAAATTTCATCTCTATATGCCGGGCACATTCTTGTCGCCATAATTAAAAATAATCATAATAAAATGGCAAAAAATTTAATAAAATGAGAAAACATTTAACTTTAATACCGCCTGAAGCACATGACTGGGTGGACATCACTCTTAGCTTTGTTCGCAGTATATCAATTTAGCAACAAAACAGCTCACGTAAAAAAGGTTGCCCAATTTTTCGTTGCTTAAATCTTTTCTATCGAAAATTTACGCCGCGAAACTTGGTACTTTTTTTTAATGTAACAAAATTTTTGATCCAATATCAAATCAAAGCAACAAAAGGGTTTCCTGCAGTCAGCAACTTGATTGTTTATTTTCAGTTGACAAACACTTGATGATTTTATGTTTTTTTGAAGCATGTTGTTGTTTTTCCTTTTTTAAATTGTGAACTAGTTATGAATTTTTAAAAGGTCAGTTGTGTACAAAGTTATGACATTTCAAATTTGATGCAGTTTTCCCTGTCGTAGTATCTATTGAGATATACCAGCATATAAAATTGTTCATGAGTAGTCAAAATTAGCTGTTATAACGTTGCTTTAAGTATCATCAAAAACTATCAAGCCAATTGAAAATTTTGTGGAAGCAGATTTTGCTCTAGTTTTACATTACTAATATAATACCGGACGCACTACACATTGAGTCTTAACCATTACTTTTTGAAAGTAAGATATCAATGTGGAAAACGTTTTCCCGGTGTCTGAAAAATTTTCTCTCGGTTATGACTGGTTGGTTGCGAATTTTTTTCCTAACGTGTCACCTGCCAAAAATATTGCATCAAATGCTCCCATATCGTTTCAAAAGTCAAAAGTTTTTACCGTAACAAAATAAGCTAACCTTTTTTTAATTATCTAGCAAAGTCAATAAGACAGGTTTCACTTCTATGTGCCGCGCAAGTCCTTGTCGTAATTAGTAAACAAAGTCCAAAAGAAAATTTCATCTCTATATGCCGGGCACATTCTTGTCGCCATAATTAAAAATAATCATAATAAAATGGCAAAAAATTTAATAAAATGAGAAAAAATTTAAATTTAATACCGCCTGAAGCACACGACTGGGTGGACTTCACTCTTAGCTTTGTTCGCAGTATATCAATTTAGCAACAAAACAGCTCATGTAAAAAAAAGTTGTTCAATTTTTCGTTGCTTAAATCTTTTCTATCGAAAAATTACGCCGCGAAATGTTGTACTTTTTTTTAATATAACAAAATTTTTGATCCAATATCAAATCAAAGCAACAAAAGGGTTTCCTGCAGTCAGCAACTTGATTGTTTAATTTCAGTTGACAAACACTTGATGATTTTATGTTTTTTTGAAGCATGTTGTTGTTTTTCATTTTTTTAATTGTGAACTAGTTATGAATTTTTAAAAGGTCAGTTGTGTACAAAGTTATGACATTTCAAATTTGATGCAGTTTTCCCTGTCGTAGTATCTATTGAGATATACCAGCATATAAAATTGTTCATGAGTAGTCAAAATTAGCTGTTATAATGTTGCTTTAAGTATAATCAAAAACTATCAAGCCAATTGAAAATTTTGTGGAAGCAGATTTTGCTCTAGTTTTACATTACTAATATAATAGCGGACGCACTACACATTGAGTCTTAACCATTACTTTTTGAAAGAAAGATATCAATGTG